CTGGCAGCAGTGCTCTGTGCAGAACCACTGTGCCTCCCTGCCTCCCACCCTGACTTGTCCCTGTCAGGTCACACAGTGCCCGGTACCCCAGGAGCTCTGTGCTTTGCCAGTGAAAGGTGTTCGGGAAGGGTCCTGACAACATCACTTCTGCTTTGACGCTGGATGTGGGCAGGGGCTTTCCTGATGCCCTGCAGACGGGGTGGCTAGCTGGGGCACCTACAAGTTCCGGGGAGAGGAAGGAGTGGCAGAAAGGAGCCAAAAGCCCTGGGGTCTTGGGAGCGCAGGTTCAAATCCTGCCTCTGCCCCCAGCCAACTGGGCGGCCTAGGGCAATTTATTCAACCACTCTGTGCCTCAGTTTCCCCATCTGTAAAGTGGGCATCATAGCAGCTCCACCATCCTACAGCTGTTAGGAAACCAAAGAAAGCAGCCATGTAAAGCCCTTGATGGATTTCGGCCATTTATCACTCTTGGTCAGTCCACAGAGCATGCGCAGAGTTCAGCTCCCGCCCCGCTCTGCCACGCAGCCCTCCTGCCCAGTCCCCAGCTTGGGGACTGTCTCCCCACCTCAGCCTCTGCCAGGATGCCCCGAGGCCCCTGCCCTCTGTCCTCAATGTTCCAGCACCTTCCTCACAACAGTTAACACCTACCATCTACAGCACATTGACCTCTGTGCTAAGCCCTTTATGCATGTTACAGCATTTTGTTCTTACAAAACTGTAAAGAAATTGGTCTTATCAGCCTCATCTTATTGTTGGGGAAATGGGGGCCAGGAGAAGAGAGTGGAGGCCCAAGGTCCCACAGCGGGCAAGTATAGCCCTGGGACTCGAACCTGGGCCTGTCTGTGTAGAGCGAAGCCTCAGTTCCAGGTCCCACAGCTGGGACCTGACAGTGGCTTCCTCCGCAGCTGTCAGCTTTGCCTCCCTGCCCTGGGAGCATGTCCTCCACCTCTCTGCCTCGCCCCTACCCCAGGCCCAGCCCAAACGCCCCTGCACAGTAGCAGTGATCACTGCACCAGGGACCATGAGCTGGACAGGACTCTGCGGGCGGGCAGTGGCCCAGGCCAGGCCCAGCATCCCCAGCAGCTGCCCCTGAGCTCCCCAGACCTCCCTCCCGCCCCCCTCCACAGCCTGGGCTGAGGGGCGTCATGGTCAGTGAGCTACAGATATGGGCCCACAGGTCAGACTCAGCTGGCTCACAGCCTAGCAGTGACTTCCCTAGTTTCTTACTGGAGAAACAAAGGGCACTTTTCATATTTAAATAGTGTGGCCAGTGGGCTTTGGAAGGCACTGCCACGGGCTTACTGGGGGTGCAGGCCTGGAGTTGCCCTGAGCCAGGATGGGGCACTATTAGAGATAATGAGCCCCGTCTTACCAAGGCCCAGAAACGGACAGTGACTTACAAAAGCCACAGTAAGGAGCCAGAGCCCCGCCTCCTGACTCACAATCTGGTGCCTTCCTCTCTCCCTCCCCAACCTTCTCCTCCACGCTGTGCTACCTTTATCCATCAAAGGCTGAATGGCCAGGATAGAGCCCGGCATGGGAGCGTGGAGGGACATATTTTATAAGGTTTGTAAACAACACTGTGACTCCCAGGTGCCCCATCCATCATGCACAAAGTTGAGAACTACACATCGAATCCAGTCCTCCTCTTGATTTGTGCAAGTAGAGGAAGTGAGGTCCAGTGACACCAAGGGACTTCCCGGATCACAGAGCGGGGTCCTGGCAGAGCCAACAAACAGACCTTGAGTCCCCTGCGAACCCAACTAAGTCTTCCGGGCTGATCGCGCTAAGGCTTTGCAGCCATTGCTATATTTTTCCAATTGCAAGGAGCTGCCCACTCTCCAAGGTTTTGCAATTAATAGCCCATCCTTTCACCATTCCTGGGTCTCTAGCCTGCCATCTAGTGGCAACACTGAGAGCTACAGGCTATTGTTGAAAAGAGGGAGTCCCAGGGCAGAAGGAACTCCGAAAATGAACAGAAGGACTTGGAATGTTTTAGGGAAACATCTAGAAAAAAAGGAGGGAACCAACCAAATCTCTCTAGGAGACACTTGTAAGAACTTGTGCCTCGCCCCCTGCCATGCCACCATTCCTCAGTGACTCTGGGCAGAGGAGGTGGCATCTGGGACCAAAACGGCCCCTCCCACAAAGGTGAGGACGGACCAGCCAACCTGCTCTAACAGCCTGAGGCTCCTATTAACTGAATTCCTCATGAATATGCATTGATCTTAAGGTTTCTTTCCAAGGGGAGCACGGGGTGGTTTCTAAGTTGGGGGAGGGGATGCCCTGGGTCTATTTTGGCTCCCAGAGGGTCTGTGCTCCCAACAGCCCCCCCCAAGCCAAGTTCTGAGGCAGCGAGATTCTTTCTGTCAGCTGAGAGGGACAGTCAGCTCCCCGAGCAGGAAACCATCCCCCAGCTCTGGCTGCCTGGGCCTCCCAGTCACGTCTATTAGCAGGCGGGAGGCCCCTGAGGAAGGACCCGGACTCCTCCCCCGGCGCTCCGGGCCATGCAGCCTCCAAAATTGGAAGCTTCGGGAGCGCAAGGCCCATCGCTGCCATTCTCTGGAGAACCAGGCAGGCTGGCACTGGGGACTGGGAAGTGACCTCCACAGCCAGGAGCCGCCTAATGAGCGCCTCACTCAGTCCTGAGGGGGGGGGGGTGGCAGGGAGAGACACAGGCGCCACACATGCCACATGCACACGCATGTACACACACGTGGTCTCCTGTAGTCATGTAGACTCTCAGACCCACATGCATCCACACAGAGATGTACAGAAACCCCCCCCCAGAAAGAGACCGACACCCTATCCCCTCCCCCCAGACCTTCTCTTCTCAAATGTCCCCTTATGTCACTGCTCCCAAGACCTGGAGGTTCAGAATGCAGGACAATGTACAAACACCTGCATGTGACCCCTGGCACAGCCACACACACCGCTGGGAAGGGGTCCCGGCCCATGGACTCAGTGGTCATCGGGGGGCTGCCTCCTGAGAGCTGTCCCTGCTTGCCCTGGGACAACAGTGGGGAAGGCCAGGGCCAGGGGGTGGGGTGGGCAGGAGAAACGGGGGCCCTCCCATACCCTCCCTCTGAGGAGGCTCAGACAAGACACTGGGCTTCCCCTCTCACTCCCCAAGGTGAGACCTGGGCCTTCTGGGCATCTTCTCCCTCAGTCCCGCCCTACCCAGTCACGGTCACGGCCATCACTGACCTGCAGTCCCAGAAACACCCTGAGGCCGGCTTGTCCCACCCATGCTCCCCACTCCTGCCAGGCATTTCTGAAACACTCCGTGGCCTGGCTAGTCCCCAGGCCGCACGGGGTCTCCATTCAGACACCGTCTTGGGCCGCCAGGCCCCCGCCTTCCCCATGTCATGCCCCACGTGCTCCATGATGCCGGGACACCTCTGTGTCTGAGCACCGACGGCCCCGTGGCCCTGGCACGGGACAGCTGCTCAACACACTTGCTCAGTGTGTCCCTGACACGTAGTTTTCGCGCGGCTTCCACGTACCAGGGTAGCTGTGGGCACTCCATGAAGGAAACCCATCCCGTGGCCGGCACCCCAGGAAAGGGTGGGGGGGCATCAGGGAGGGGGCATGCACTGTGGCGAGTGTACTGGTTAGACGCCTGGGCGCCAAGGTGCCGGCTGTGTGACCTTTCAATGGGCTAAAGACGGTTTCGAACTAGGTGATCTAGAAGGAGTCTTGTAGGAATAGTGGGGGTGGGAAGCACAGAGAGAAGCTGGGGAACCCCCCCCTGCCCTGCCCCCAGTGGAGTCTCCGCAGAGCAGTGGGAGGGGACCAAGGGCACAATGCTGAACTGCTCCTCCCCACTCCGCCCACAGCTTTGCTCCTAGTCACTCACCCCTACCCCGCCCCAGCCTCCCCATCCTTCCCTCAAGACCTTCAGAGTAGCACTCGGGGCTCCCTGGGGGTTCCTGCCATGTCAACTTTCACATGTGGGGACGTGACCCGGTACGTGCACCCCCGGGAACCCTCCGTACTTGGCCCGGTCTGCCCATCTCAGAATGAAGTTATGGTTGGGCCACCCAGCCTGCTCCACAAATACCCTTAAGTGTGGCCTCCACTGCCCTACCCCACCGGCCCAGAGTCAGGCCAGCCCCTCAGGCACTCGCCACCGACCTGAGCCTCACCAGGGTTGTCAGAGGATTCAGTCAGCCGTCAGTTCGTCAAATGCCACGCGGGAGGTGAGTAGGTGCTCACGAAACTTCCTGCCTTTTGCTGATAGGGCTAAACCCCAGGCAGGAGCCGGCTGGGTGCTCTGTCCTTCTCTCCTTCCCCATCCCCCATCCTACTCTAAACTCAGGGTCCTAGAAAAAACACTGCTCAGGAAGTCAGGAGGCCTCTTGAGCAAGTTACTTGGCCTCTCCGAGTCTTGGTCTTTTAGCCTCCGTTTTCCGTGAGAACAGCCCACCTCCCTCACGGAGGGATCATAAGCTCACGAAAATCATGGAGATGGAAAAGCTCTGACGATTACTTACATGGGCAGATGCCAGGGCCTGTCATAACATAACCTCTCAACACTGGGCGGGTGGACAGACAGACGGATGGTTGGGTCCTGATGTGGGCAGGTGCGCAGGCACGTGGTTGGGGGACAGAGCTTGAGTTCTAAGTGGGCACCAGTGAGGGCTCTGAGGATCCCCTCCCCTGCGAAAGCTGGGGCTGCTCTCCCTTAAACTAAGCAGCTTCTTTTCACACGTGTGTCCTCCTTGACAGCCGCCCCCCACAAGGAGCCTTGTCCCCAAAAAACCAGACTCCCCAGAATCCTGCTGTTCCAGTTCTTATGGGACTCAGAGCTACCAGGACCTCCCTCCCGCGTCTTCTGGCCCAAAATGGGCCCAGGAGCCTGGTGGGAGCAGGACCCATATCTGTCCAGTCACTGAGGGATCCCCATGCCCAGCACAGGCGCTGGAAGGTGCTGGTCAGTCTTGTCTTAGTGCAGGAATGGCTGCGGAGGGGGGGGAGCAACGGGGGGGCCAACTTACTGGGCACACGGTTGATGGCTTTGAGGGGCCTCAGGACGCGCACGGTGCGGATGGCTGACAGGTTGATGTTCTGGAGGTCCAGGGAGTACTCCACCATCCTGCAGAGAAAGGCGGACAGTGAGGGATGGAGCAGGAGGGACACAAGGCCACGGAGCAGGCCACAGCCATCTAGCCAGCCACGCACATCCATCCGTGCCCATAGCTGCCTGGAGAGGAGAGGAAGGAACGGGGTCAGGATCCCAGCTGCAGCCCAGCACTTGCCGGGTGGCTCTTGCCCGTGCTTCCCCAGCAGCCTTTGAAGCAGGGAAGGCTAGCAGGAGAGAACCAAGGTGGGGGTGGGGGGCGGCTGACCCCAGGCAGTGACCAGAAGGCAAAATCACAGCTGCAGTGTCAGGTCCTGGCTGCCGGCAGAGGCCTAGAGCCGGGCTCCCAGTCCTTACATCTCCCCCAGCCCCCAGGTCCCCAGTAAGCCTGGCTTCGATGCCCAAAGTCACAGACGAGGAGAGGAGCCAGACAGGGGTGACATCGCATGTCCCAGGTTGCCCAGCCAGGGTCACACCACATCTGCCCCTCCCTGTCCGCTCTCCAGTCCTCTGAGCCCAAACACGGGCTCCCAGCAGTCCAGGTGTCATCTCCGGGGATGCGACAGGCATGCTGTACTTGGCTTGCAGGAAAAATCTACGCTCTCCCAGGCACACTCCCCGCAAGGCGCCCAGGCTCCAGCCTCACGGGCTCACTGCACCCATCACACCAGGTCTCTGTGCCCTCTGTCCCTTCTGCCTGGGATGTTCTCTCTCATCTGTCCACTAAAACCTTTCTCATGCTTTAAGAATCCGGTGATGCCCCTTAGAGTCCTGGAAGTTTTTCCACACCAGAGTCTGCAATGAACCAAGCCAGTATGGGTGCTACAGGCCCAAGAAGGACTCAGAGCTGGCCCCCGCCCTCAGGAGTAGCCACTCAAGTCAGGGAAAGACCCAAAGGCAGAGATGACACTGGAACCCTCACCGATCCTCCAGGATCTCAATCAAGAGGTCCACCCTCCGGGTAGGTGAAGAGTAAATGAAACAAGATGGGATTGGGAGGGAGACAAACCATAAGTGACTCTTAATCTCACAAAACAAACTGAGGGTTGCTGGGGGGAGGGGGGGGTGGGGTTATGGACATTGGGGAGGGTATGTGCTATGGTGAGTGCTGTGAAGTGTGTAAACCTGGCAATTCACAGACCTGTACCCCTGGGGATAAAAATATATTATATGTTTATAAAAAAATAAAATTTAAAAAATTAAAAAAAAAAAGAAGAAGTCCACCCTCCCTCACCACGTGCAACCGGCCCTGAAACACCTTGGAGGAATTTTGTCTCCTCCAGGAAGTCTTCCCAGATCTCCACTGGAGGCAGCCCTCTGGGGTCCCCTCTGTGGTTTCCCAGCTTCCATTAGATCCTGCCTGTCCTGCTCAGTTCCTACCTGTCCCTGCTCTCCCCCTACTCGGCCCTCAGCCTCAGCCTGACCCGGGGTATGGCTCAGCAGACCCTCCCACCCTCTCCCCCCCACCATCCTCCACCCTGGGGCTCCAGCACGGCCACCAGCTCCACCTGTCACTACCACCAGCAGGGAAATGAAGGCTTTTCCCACACACCAGGCAAACCTGTCCAACTGTTGGGAAGCCACCGCCCCCTCCCGCTGCTTGAAGAATAATTGAGTGAAAGCTTCTTTGCCTGAAATGCCTCCATCCATCCCCCAGCTTTCTGGGGCACAGGCTCTGGCTCCC